AGATTTGAACAAACATGCACCTTACCAATTGGGCAACAAGCTCCGGTGCTACATTACATAATTATCTCAACCAAAACCTAGTCATAACCCCTCATACATCAAAATCCACATATGAAAAAACTACATAAAAAGGCATCAGAACTACATTACCAACACCTAAAGCCAGAAAAGATCAAGACATGTTACTTCCTCTTCAAGTCTTTATAGAAAATGTTTGGCAACCATTGATTTTGCACACATTCAAATTCCAAGACCCACCTTTCCCCATCAACTAACCATAGGGAATCTCACCCAGTGGTATTAATCAAACGCAAACAACAAGGCAATTAAACAAAACCAAAACCTAACAAGATCTTAATCACCTGAATTGTTTGCAGAATTGCATAGGATGTCGAACCAGAAAAAATCACAGAAACACAGTCCTAATCACCAAAAGCATCTATAACCACAATAACATCATACACTGTATGATACCAACAATCCCCTACCAAACCAGAACTAAAAAAATCCACAAAATTGAGGGACCGAAATCTCTTACCTTCTTCTTGGCAATCGAGAACCTCTCCAAGATGGTCAATCTCGGCATCCTAAACCCTAATCTCTGTTCCTTGAGCTTCGCATTAAGCCCCAAATCTTCAATAACAGCTCCAATTGCATCCCTTCCCACAATATCCCCCGGCGCCAGCTCTCCACATATCTCCACCAACGTTTGCCTAGCCTCCGTCATCAACCCTAACTCGACATCCGTCGGACTTCTCCCTCCACCTCGCATCTTCGCCATAGCCGACAGCAGCAGCACTATCTCTGCCACTCTCTTCATCGCTTCGGGGGGCCCACATCGCCGCTTCTTCACGGAGGAAACCTCACCGTTCTCAAGCGGCCTCTTCTCACCAAAAGCAAACCCCGCAGTTTCCAAGCCCGTCTCAGACTCCACATTCACCGCCGAATCCATGGATTACCCAACGACGCCGTGTTGAAGAGAGGAAAGAGATAAACCGGGAAGCGCAGGAGACAGCCGGAGAGGGGAAGTAGGTGAGGAAGACGGAAACGGGAAGGGGGGGAATTTGAAAAACTGAAAAATTTGGACGTTTAAATTATAAAGAAAAAAGGTTTTTGGCGGGTAAATTGGATCGTCGACTGGACGAGAGAGAGAAGAGAAGCGATTTGAGCACAGAGCGAGAATTAGAGAGCGTAGCCGTGGAGAGAAAAGGGTTAATATATTTTTTTTTTTTTTTTTTTTTGTGTAGGTTTTTATTTATTTCGGATTTTTTATTTTTTGGGTGAACCGGACGTACGGTTTGCTTTGTTTGAACCGAGTTCTGGGTTTGGGATTTGGGGAGGGACGGACCAGATGAAATCATTTTTAATTTCTTTTTCTCTTTTCTTTTTTCTTTCTTCTTTTTTATAGATAACTTCTTCTTCTTCTTCTTCTTTTTTGTGTGTGTGTTTGAGTTAATTTGAAGCCATTTGCAAAGATTCTCTGAAAACTTCATATTGATCATTGGCTTACCAGGCT